TAGTCCACTTCTGTATCCTTCCCTTCAAGGCTCAGGGGTCCAGGATTATCTTCTGTGTCTGTGTTAACTGGTTTCCCTTTTCTTTGTTGAAGAGCGTCTGTGCAGTCTTTCTGCCTAGTCTGCCTTCTTTCCGGCCACCCCCTATTTTTTTTTTTAAATATCTTTAATAGAGTGTATTACACTTACTGATTTTCTTATGTTGAACTGTGTTTGCATTGTGGAGATAAATCCCACTTGTATATACTATATAATCCTTCAATATGCTCTTGGATTCAGTGTCTAGCTCTTTGTTGGTTTTTGGTTTGTGTGTGTGTGTGTGTGTGTGTGTGTGTCTATGTTTATGTAGGAGAGAGACATATTTCTTTCCTGTTTTCAATGAAATTTCCTTGTTCTCTAATTTTTGTTATTCCTTTTGGTAATTTTTGGTTTAATTTGTTACTGATTTTCTAGTTTCTGAAGTTGTAAAGTTAGGTTGTTCATTAGAGATCTTTTCTTTTTTTTATCATGTAGCTAGTTAACATTGTAGACTCCATCTGAACTTTTGCTTTCATTAAATTTTAGCATGATGAGCTTTCAGTTTTATTAATTTCTAGGAATTTTCTGGTTTCTCTTTTGATTTCTTAGACCCACTAGATATTTTAAGACAAACTGTTAATTACCACATATTTATAATTATGTATTTACCAATTTTCTTTATGTTAACTGATTCTCCATTTCATTCCATTACCTTCTGAGAACATACTTCATATACAGTGAATTTTTGAAAATATTTTGAATGTATTTTGTGACCTAGCATGTGGTTTACCCAAGAGAATGATCTGTGCTCACTGGGAGAAAAAAAAAAAGTATATTCTAATGTTGCATGATATAGTCTTTGTGTGTCTGTTAAATCTAGTTAGTAGTTTTTATTCTTGTAGGTGATGTTGACTTGGTTCCTACTAATAACCACCCTTTGTATAACAGAACAAACTACTGGCCAGTCCTGGGTCACACTCAAGAGTCTTCCTCTTGAGGTAGTCATCACAGCCATTGTGTCAGTCCATCTCCTTGATGCTATTCCCTGTTTTTGCTGACCCTCTGCTTTTACACTATTATATTCTTCTTCAGGCATTGGTTCCTTCTGACAACATGCCAAAAGTACAAGAGACAAAGTGTGGGCATTCTCACTTCTGAGGAGTATTGCAGCTATAATTCCTCCAAGAGAGAGTTATTGGTTCTTCTAACCATCCTTGGTACATTCATTATTCTTCACCAGCACGACTCATATGCATCATTTCTTCTGTCTTCTTTATTCATTGTTCACCTTTTACACACATATGAGTCTATTGAAAATACAGCTTGTGTGAAGGGCACCTTAAGTCTTCAAAGTAACATCTTTGCTTTTTAATATTTTAGACAGTCTTTTGCAACAGATTGTCTAATGCAGTGCATCATCTGATTTCTGGACTGCAGCTTCCATGGGTGTTGATTGTGTAAAATGGAGTTATTGACACCTTTAGTGTTTTCTGGATTTATTGTGATGGTACTTATTGGTCCCCTTGGGAGGATTTTTGTTTTCAATATGTTGAAGTATAATCCATACCAAACACTGTAGTCTTTCATTTTCATCAGTAAGTGCTTCAGGTCATCTTCATTTGCATCTAGCACGCTGTGTCCTGCATATCACAGGTGGTTAATAAGTTTTCCTTCAATCCTGATGTCGTGTTATTCTTACATAGTTCAGCTTCTTGGCTTATTTGCTCAGCATGTAGATTGAGTCCATGTGCAGTACCCTCTTGTTCTGTTGAATGACTGCCTCTTGGTCCATGCACTAATTGTGCATGACCTCAGTTAAGTGTTCTGGAATTTTGGTAATGTTATCTATAATTTGGTATGGTCCACGTAGTAGTATGCCTTTGCATAGTAAGTAAAACACACAGGTAATTCTGGTATTCTCTACTTTTAGGCAAGATTCATGTGACATGAGGAGTGATATCCCTCATTTTATATCTTCTTCTGATTCCAGCTTGAATTTCTGGAGGTTGACTGTCAATGTACTGCTACAGCCTGGAGTAGTGGTTCAATATTTGCCAATTCATTCATGGCAGTGTCTTTATAGAACATAATTTCTACGAATAATGAGAGTCAATTATATCGTTTCTGTAGTTGATGATTATGTATTATGTATCTTTTACATTAATAAAAAGTCTTAACTGTTTTACTATTCTCCCTCTCAGAAGATCATTGTGTCATATTTCATAGAAGTTTGAGATACCATCAAACTGTCAATGTCCTACCATTGAGAAATCTACAAATTCTTTGCATGTCCATCATTTGGAGCTCTCTTGTTCAGTATTGTATCATTCCTGGCTAGCTCAGTGCCCACTGTATAGTAACATTTGCTGTTATAGTTCATCATCAGTGTGATATGGTAGTCACTTCTGAGCTGTTACAACAATAATTTATTATTACTACTACTGATACCATTATTGACAAGTGCAACTGAGATGGAAGAGTAGGATTTTCCCTATGATACTATTTTCACTCACATTCTGTTCTATTTTATTTGAAGCAGAAAGGAAAGAGGTAGTGTTCTAGGTAATATGTATAGAACCTGCATCTATTTTAACTATTCTGTAGCTCTTAGTTTGTAGTTAGATATAAAAACAAAATTACTTTACAAAATTTTTTTTTTCCTGCAAGAATTTCAATAAAGTTTTTTTGTAGCCGTGAATGTATCTGTAAGGATGATCTCTGTAGGTTTTATGTTGTTCTTGTTCGTGAAACAAGTGATTTTGACTTGTCAGTGTTTTATTCTTCATAAAAGGTTTACTGAAGTATCATTAACGCTTCCATCTTTTTTTTTTATTCCTTCAACTGTAAGTAAAATAACTTGCCTAAATCTAAAACATCTTATTCACAAAGAATACTATGTGCTGCATAATATTGAGGTCTAATATATCTGACTGGTTTATTGATCATATGCTCTTTTAGGAAAAAAGTAGATGGTGTGATTTCTAAGAAGGTTTCCCAAAAGATCTGTTACAGTTTTTAATAAGAAAATCGAAATTATGACTATTTTGCATGCCTTCCTGTGTAGACTGGAAAAGAGGAGAGTAGAAAGTTTCCATGGTTGTTATTGAATAATTTCCAGCACAACCCAAAGGTTCCTGTTGTACTTCCTAAATGTAAAGTTTTTGCTATTTTAGTTGGAAGATAGCAGGAATGTTCAGAAGCAAATGAAGACTTTGCAGAAGAAGCAAACCCAGATCATGAAAGAGAAAGTTCATTTGCAGAGTGAACACAATAAGGCTGTCTTGACAAGAAGCAAACTGGAATCCCTTTGCAGGGAACTTCAACGTCACAATAAGGCATTAAAGGTTAGTTGTTTCATTTTTGTTTTTAGTAAGTCATTTATTTAGCTGGTATAATCATGTTGTATATATTTAAAATAAATCCTGTCTTTCTTTGTTTCAGAAATCAGTTGTAATGGTAAATCACAGGTGCATTTATAGGGTTGTTGATGAGGGAAATACTACTTGCTTTACTATTATTAGTAGCTGGTGGTGCTGTGGTTAAGGCATTGGGTTGCTAACCACAGTTATAATCAAAACCACTGGCTGCTATGCAGAAGAAAAATGAGGCAATCTACTGCAAATATTTACAGCCTTGGGAATACTATGAGGATCACTATGAGTCAGAATGGACTCAATGGCAGTTTGGTTTTTGATTTTATTTTGAAGTCATATGAATTCACTGTAAATCTAAAACCATTTCTTAACATGCAAGTTTTTTTAATTCAAGGAAAAGCTTTATATGGGAACTTAATGAAATTGATGTTCATGTTCAAGCTCTACTGCTTAGAGCCTTGGTTTATGAAACTCAAACACATTTTCTGCTCATCTCTGGTGTAGTTAATTATAGATCTTTCTTAGGTAAAACATGGACAATGGACATGAAATGAGAAATTGTAGCAAGAGACTTGAGTCAGATTGAGTATGAGAAGAAAAACAAGCTGCTGAGCTCTTCAGTGGATGTTAATTGGCTAGATTTCCAAACTGTCCCATGTCAAGTGTTCAATTGCTAAATACGTTTGTGGTAGTACTTAACCTCAACTGATTATAAACGAAGGGAGAGAGAGCGTGTACTAAAACTAATTAGTATCCATAGGATAAAAAAAGAGCAGAGACACTGGGAAGAGTCTGCCTACCTATTTACAATAGGTACATGCTTGCTTTTGTGGTATTACTAAACAGGTGTACAGCTGCAGTATTATTTTGACTTAGTAAGGTCTCTAATCACATACTTCCATCTCAGCCAAACTCAAGAATATAGAACCACTTATGTATGAGATGGATCCTTACCTAGTATGAAGGTTTGTTTTTCTCTTTGTTTTTGAAACCTTGGATTCAGGTGTAATAAAAGTAAATTTCTTTTTTTCCATAGTTAGCAAACATTGTGATGGGACTGATTACTGTTTATGTAAAGGTATTTTGACAGTCATATGCTAGCAAAAGTTGTAGTACACTTTAAAGTAACAATTTCATATATCTCCTTCCCTCTGAAGAATGGAAGATGTGACCCAGAAAGTAAGCTGCAGGCATGGTTCTTTAGGCTCATCTAAGATGCTCTGCTTTATCAGTGAGGGTAGTACTTAGTACTTTTATATCATTATATATTATATATATATATTATATATATAGTACTTAGTACTTTTATATAATTATATTATATAATACAGAATATTTGCTTCATAACAGAATAGTTTATGTATCTGTTACTGTGTCATATACTTAGGAAAAGTATCTTGCCTTCCAGTTACAAGTAAGAAGGAGAAATTGTAGTTGAGAAGCAAAATTGAGGCAATAATAAATTAACCCACACATGAGAAACATATCCTTCTGTAGGATAATACCTTTAACAGAAATTATTTTGGATAATAAGGAAGAAAATATGCAGCAAGCAGCAGTAGAAGAAGAAGGTCATAAGGAAGCAACAGCACATTTCCAAAGTACTTTAAATGAAATTCAGGCACAACTGGAGCAGCATGACATACATAATGCCAGACTCCAACGGGAAAACACTGATTTGGGGGAGAAGCTAAAGAAGCTCATTGAACAATATGCACTGAGAGAAGAGGTAAAATCATGTTGTTTACTTAGACTCTACTCATTATTAGTAAAGATTTTTCACTGTTTATTGATAATTTAAAATTATTGTCATAGTACATTTTAAAACATTTGTTAAGATACAACATGACCAGAGCACTTATTGGGATCATCACTTAATGGTTACTGAATATGATTAAATGAGGTAATTTCTAGTGGATATGATAAATATTACCTGGCTTTCATATGATTCTGGTTGATGGTGATTTTTAACATAGTGTTAACAGTTTTTTTTTTTTTTTTAATTGTGATTTGCATGAAAATTTACAGAGCAAATACACTTTCCATACAGCAGTTCACATACACTTTATCTCATGACATTGACCACATTTAGCACAATGCAACATCTTCCCTCCAACTTTCTCCTGATAGTTACCTCTTCCCTGTGTCCATCTCTCCATGCACTCCTACCCCCTGAGCTGTCTCTCTGTGCCTGAGCAGCCCTTCTTTCTCTCATGCTTATTCTCTCCAAGGAGGTAAATTCTCAACTGATCATATGCCTGTCTATTGTTTGGCTGGAAGCCTTAGGTGTGTGTTCAATTCCAGACCTGAAGGGCAGCTAGGGGCCATAGTCTCAGTGGTTCCACCAGGCTCCCTTGGGCCAGTAAACCTGTGTTAACAGTTTTTAACATATAGATGACTTTTCCTCATCCAGACTAATAATAAATATTTGGCAGCAAAATATTCTCCATCTCAAACTTATGTGATAATCTGTACATACATAGGGCTATAATATTTACATCTAATATATCTGTTTATATCTACTACTATATCTAGTATGGAATTTGGGATTTTATACTGTTTGCGAGAAAAAGAACTACTTACGCGCTCATGGATGTAAAAAAATTTACTGGAAGAATCTCTGCCTGGTGAACTTGGTCTTTGGAAATGAGTTCTAGGCTTTTGCAATTATTTTACAAGATAGTGTGGAGGTTCAGAAATGTTTTCATGATTAAAAGAATATAAATGGAGATGACTGTGTTTTGTTGGGTATGTTTTCACCACAATAAAACAAAAAGAAAAAAGAAAAAAGGAAACCAGGTAACCTTCTTATTTAAGTTTGCTCACTTTTAGAGTCATGTTAGAGGTTTTGACTTTTCCAAAGAGTGCATCTCCTGTCTTTATAATACTTCAGTGTTGTACTTTTAGGTGTAAGTATTGCTGTAATAGAAGAACCATAATGTATAGTTCTAAAGGGCAGAAACTTAACTTTTCTCTCAGAGAAGGCTGTCCCTGGAAAATCATTGTCTCAGCTTCTCTAGCTTCTGAGTTGTTCAGTTTCTTGGTTTCTCCACATGGAATTTATGCTTGCTGCTGTTTGAGTCTATGTTGTTCTTTGTATTACTCAGGACAGATAGCTTTAGGACATGACTTACACCGAGATGACATCATTAGCATAAAAAGAAAATCCGATTTTCTTATGGGATTATATTAACTGGGAAATAGGAGTCCATTTTATATTTTTGGGGTAGACACAATTCATTCCATAAGTATATTGTACCCCTTATTAAATATGGTAATATAGTAAATATAGTCATAACAAAAATTATGGACATTTAAAAATGGTTTAAAAAATATAAGTTTTTTTATATGTGTATTCTACAACAAAAATGCTAAAAAATGTAAAATATGGTATTTGTGCAGTGCTCAGTTGAAGTTTTAAATAATTTTAAATTTATGGTTTTACACACATCTCTGAAAACTGTCGGTTTGGTTCTCAAAACTTGATTTTTCTAAGACTTTGTGTATTTTCAAAATTACTCTCCTTAATATTTTAACTTTAAGAATTTAATTAAAGAAAA